AAACAGCCTTGTCATGGAAAGGGCCACATGGCTTAGAATGGCAAGCATCTCTAGGAGTCGAGGGCCTCGGTCCTACAACCAAAGGAATAGAATTCTGTCAACAACTAATGAGCTCAGAAAATGACGCAAATCCTCAGATAAGACTACAGCTTGGCCAATACCAAGATTTCAGTCTGGTGAGGCCCTGAGCATTGATCCTAGCTAGCATTGATCCCAGGCGGCCCTGGTGGAGCAGTGGTTAAGCATTTGGTTGTTTACCAAAAGGTCAGTGGTTCAAATCCACCAGCCATTCTATGAGAGATAGATGTGGCAGTCAGCTTCTGTAAAGATTGATAGACTTGGAAACCCTGTGGGGCAGTTTTGCTCTATCCTGTAGGGTCACTATGAGTCAACATCAAGGTGACAGCAATGGGTTTGGTGTTTTAGGTTAGCTGTGCCCAGACTTCTAACCTACAGAAACTGTGAGATAACAAATGAGTGTTGTTTTAAATTGCTAAGTTTGTGAATAGGAGCTCTGGGAGCATAGTGCCTAAGGCACTTGACTGCTAACCAGAAGGCTGGCGGTTCAAATCCACCAGCCACTCCTCGGAAAGAAGGTTGGGCAATCTACTTCTATAGTGATACCACCTCGGAAATCCAAGCGGGGTCGCTATGAGTTGGGGCCAACTCGACGGCACATAACAACAACAAGTTTGTGAAAACACCTTACACATCAATTGAAAACTAATATAGTAAATACAGGATCACCTTGCAAATATACACTATCTCCTATTAAAAGAAGACATAAAGCTCTACTTTCAACTGTCAAAGAAAATTCCCACCAAGCCACACACTAATGTCAGAATAGACCTATATTTATTTTGTTTCACACACAGTGACTTCAAAGACCATTGTTTAAAACCATTGTCATAAGCTGCTGAATCACCACATGCTGCGTGGGAGTGTGGATGGGGTGAGGAAAGACACCAGCCCTGTCAGCCAGCTGAACTCAGCTGTGAACTTCCGGCACCCTAGGAAATAGAAGGGATCATGTTTAGAGAATGAGGTTAAATTCTGGGTGATGTGAGGAAGCCTGATATAGCAGCAGTAGCATACTGCAAAAGATTGTACAATATATATATAAAGAAAACTTCACAAGATCTCATTAGAGAGTTTATTGTTATAAGCATGGAAAGGAAACATAGCTCTATGCTAGTATACTATTAAGACAGGATTTAAAATTCTGTCATAATTTGGGGAAGTCTGTAGGACCTAATTTCAAAATTAACATCTTCTTTGAAATGGTATAACACTATTTCTTGCTGTTTTTTTTTTAAAAATATACACTCCAAATTTCCTCTTAGTTTTCGATACGTGGGAATGAGACTTATGTTGGCCTGGGCCACTAAGCTTTCTCTTTGGGATGCAGAGGCCTCATTTGATATTAGTATTACCTGCCACAGATAAAATGCATTACACCCACACCATTATTTCTAGGAGCACTCTTATTTCCTTTTGTCTTCACAAACAACTATGACTTTCTGCTCCACTCATGTCAGAATCAGTCCCCTCATATCCCATCTGCACTTAACTTGGCTATAATATTTTCCCTCCCCAGGTAATTTTATTTTATTTTTCTGAAACCTTCTAATATTGACTTGACATTCCCTTTACAGATAACAAAAGGCTACGACTTCACACAGTGTTTCTTTATTTCTGGCCTTAGTAACCTATACCCTGAAAAACCCATCAACTTAGATTAACCTCTTCCACCATGTAACCAATAATAAATTGCTGTTGAGATGGCAGATACAAGATTCATTCAAGAGATGGCAGACTGAAATTTGTTACCCTGGATTTATAATATTCCCAGAGAATATTTCTGTAGTTTATATTAATTGCTTATTTGTGTATGTTCAAATCTCACAATTTTGGAGGCATTAACACAGTTCCCCTTTGGAAGAAGAGTGATTTAATAGAAGTTCCCTTAATGAAAGAATATTTTGGCACATGGAACCAACTTCACTCACTGAGAGATGTCAGGAATGTGGGGAAACACTGGGCCCTTTATGAGGGAAGTCCACACTTCTCACTTTGCACCCAGATCAGAGCCAAAATTTCCTCCTTCCCTCAAAAATCTTCCAATAACCTTGCAATCATTGCTAATTGAGAATTGATGATCTCAGAGCCAACCAAGGCTCCTGCTTTAATATAATTTACAGAATTGGGGCTAATAGTCTCATTTACAATTTTGAATTCTACTGTTTATTTCAGGATCTCCTTGGGAAAGAGCAGTGGTGGAATTATGGCTGTTGCATTTGGGCAGAAAAGCAGCAAATATTGCTCCAATTTTTTGTTTTCACCATTTTTTTGAAATCGGAACCAATGCACTATGGCTTGTAAGGTGCCAGCACATGCTTGTCTGTGTGTGTGTGTGTGATTGACAAAAGCCAATGTGTCTTCATTCATGGATATGGGCAGTGGTCCATGTCTGCGTTCCATTGAACTTTCAGTTGGTAGAGGTTCCCCTTCACAACATCAACCACAATGATTCCCAAGGGATTGAGGTTGGTAGTAATTCAGTACCTCATTCCTTTGCATTTTTCAATGGGAGAACCACTGCCTCCTGTCCAGTGCTCCTTAACTGATCATGTCAAGATTGCCAGGCTAGCATTGTACTATAACATTGGCTCCTTCTCCATGATACAACTCCAGGAACCAAATCCAATTCCACATCAGACAGTCATTCTTTCCCTAGTAAATCTAACTCTAATTCATTCGATATCCCTACTTAACCCTAGCTCTGTCTTCATGGTACTGAGCTCCACCTGAACTTGACAATTCCTTGGGGAACTTGGTCTGCACTCATAGACAGTTCATTTCCTTTGTTTTTATGTGCCGTCGAGTTGGACCCAACCCATAGCGACCCCTCCTTGGGTTGCTGAGGCAGTATCACTATAGAAGTAGATTGCCCAACCTTCCTTCCGAGGAGTGTCCTTTAGGGACTTTAAATAATACCCTATTCAGTTGGGGAAATGATGTGACAATTCTTAGACAAGTGTGGGAGGAAATGTCTACATCATTCTGTGAATTTGTAGAAATAAAGAGTTCATCTACTGTAACCAGTATTAGGACTTCTATCTGTCCCACTTACACCCCATTCCTCCTCCTGCCCATGAATAAAAGAGGAAGTACAATGTAAAATAAAAAATATAAGGAAGAAATTTTTAAAGGGTTGATGTATTAAAAAAAAACTCTTGGAACCTCAATACATGCTTGTGGAATCTCAACTTCTTTGGTCCCATCTTCTTAAAGGCTGGACCCCTTTATGTTCTCAGTCCTCAGGAAGACCACACATCCTACAGTGCCCCCAGGTAAAACCACATTTTTTATTGTCTTATTTTCCCATTGGGATCAGATTTGGAATGTAAGGTATCTACAGTGCCTAGTTTAACTTTAATATGGATGCAATTGTAATAAATATTTGTAATTTTATATGAAACACACATACACAATTCACAAACAATCACTTCCTTGGGAAAAGCTCTACCATATGTTCATAAGTTCAAGTGTCATTGGAGCTCTCTAAGAGCGTTCCAAGTGGTTGGAATAAACACAACTTAAAGCATACAAAAATCTTAATGTATATTGGCCTGACAACTTAGCAACTGAAAGAGATAGTACATAATGAGCTGTACAACAAACCAAGGGCCATTCAATCCACAGTAATAATAGTAGTAACAATAATATACAATGCTATAAGATTATTACACTCTATTCTACAATGCACAGAGAAGTACCTGGTTAAAGCTGTTAAATGTATGAGAATTGGGGTCTGTTTTCAGTGCATTATATCAAATTTGGTAATTAATAAGTATCAAAAATATATTTATTTTCAAAATATGGAACAAACTAAAATATATGGCTTTTCTGATAAACTATAGAGAACTTGGAGTCCCTGGGTACACTGGCTGCTAACTGAAAGGTTGAAGGTCTGAGTCCAGCCACAGGCATCTCAGAAGAAAGGTCTGGTGAACAACTCCCTCCAAAAAACCCATGGAAAATCCTAGAGAGCCCAGTTCTACACTGACATACATGGGGTCACCATGAGTTGGGGTCAATTTCACTGCAAATAATTTGTTGGGTATAGACATTCAATCAGCAGTTTGTTTCTGCTTGGATTTCATAAAGTATCTTTATTCCACTTTCTCTCAGATTCATTACCCTAGCTCAAATTGTAACATACACAGGTAGATATGTATGTGTTTAACATGATTCAGGGGAATCACATACACAGGTAGATATGTATGTGCTTAACATGATTCAGGGGAATCATGTTTCCTTCCATGCATGTCTTGCAAATATTATTATCCATTTGAGGCATCCTAATAATGTAATTTCCTTTCAATTGGCTCCACTACCCGCCCCCCTTTTTTTTTATGGGCTTGGAAAATACCAAACTCTTTCCCTATGGCTTACTTTTAGTTTCCATTTTTGAGCCATTTTCTACTCTTCACATTGTAGTATTTGAGTAATTATATTAGATCATTAACATGAAAATCTTAAGATGTGTTCCTTCATGTTGTTTTGCCTTATTTTTTTTTCCTTTTTCATCTTCCTTCCTAATTAGAATTCATTGGAGTATTTTGTTAGGTATTAACCTTTACTTATTATTTTAATTGAAGCTTATCTTTTGTGTCCAATGTGTGAAAAGTAAAAATGTCTCTTCAAAATCCTATTTTACAATATAGACAGAGAACCTGGGCCTTGGAGGCACTTAAGTTTCACTTAAATACTATACACATTTGGTATCACACAAGAGGGGAGGGAAGGAAAAATAAACATAAAAATTACTTTTAGTCTGTTTTTTACAAAAGAAAGCCTCTTCCTTAATGAAAGTCTTTTTGGCATTTGCTCCCAAAAGCCTGCAGTGCAAACATTATACCCATAGTTTTGAAAGGATTTCTTCTTTCTAAGCACGTCTCTTTTCAAGAGGTCACATGGGTTGGATTTTCCTGTTCTTAGTTGAGCAACGAGTAAGCACTAGATGAGTTTTCCAGAGATGAGCTGGTTGTTTCTGGGGTGGAAACATTGTATGTTCCTGCAAAACAGAGCAGTAGCTCAGCCTTAAAGACAAGCCTTCATGATCATCAAGGTGTGAACATCTTCTAATGGTCCCATCGGGAGATCTGATGCAGTAGCTAGGTAAGCTTGGCCAAGCCTGGAAATAAACCCATGCCTGCCCTCCTCCCAAGTCCCAGACGTGCCAGAGAACAAACAAGGCTGTCGTTCTCAAGCATGCATTGCAGCCGACAAGCACTAACTACTTTACATCATACCAGCAGCCAAGTTTCTACAAAGGAAGGAAGATCTCAATGTGGGCAGCTGCTCCACATGCCACTACATGCATGAGCTGGGAACACGCTCATGAGGAACCTCTCTGGCCCCTTTGGGCTATGGTGACTCAAGGAAGCTCTTGGGAGGGGCCAGGAGGCTGAGGTGAAAGGCAAGGGTTTATAAAGAGAGGAAAAGGGAAGAAAAAAGAAAATCACAGGGGAAGAAAGATAAGACCAGAAAAGAAGAAGAAGTCAGGGGATGCCACCAAAAATACTGAGAGCCAGTGCAGCAGGAAAGGCAGCATCTGAGCAATGGCATAGGGTTACATCAGCAACAAGCAGGGAGTTGAGTGTCGGGAAAGTAGGGAGTTTGTGTTGATCATGGGGAAGGACACAATGCCCACCCTACCATCAGATTCGTGAACTGCCACAGCTAACAAGGTTTCCATCAATGCCTTGGGCTGCCAACAACATAAACCAAAGTTACAGTGATTACGGAACTTTCAAATGGGCCAATGTGGAGACTGTATCAATGACCCTCGAAAAATCAAGTGGCAATGGCCAGGTATCTCAGGATCTGATACCCAGCTGATTTCAGAAACAGAACCCCTGGGCCGACATTTATCTGACTGGTTCAGAAACCAGGAGCACGTTTGTTTAGCTTTACATATTGTATAATCCTGTAGAATTATTTCATAGAGCTTTCATTATTTTTACTTTAATGCAAATGGCAAATGTATGCTGGCAAAGGGTACTATATAGTTCTAATACACCTTGTATATTTGATCATTTCACAACAGGTAGAATCCCTGACTTTCAAAATAAAAAATGAAGGCCCCCCATGTTCATGAATCATTCATTAAAAGAAAGAAGAAAATAAAATACCAAGTTCCCTGGAGTTTTAACAATTCATGGGCCTTCTCAGGGCTTGCTTTCATAGGAAAGGTCTTGATCTGGAATATTGACACATTTCTAGACTTTGCATTTCTAGACTTTTGCAAGATCTGTTCAGTTTCAAGAATCTAGAAGGAATTCTGGTGCTTATTTTCCTGAGGAGATGGTGATATGGGATGGGCATTTCAATTTTCCAGAATAACTGATATCCATTGTCCAAAGTCATTAGTACTATATTTCCTATTTTCAAGGTGGAAATTTTAACCATGTATGTTTCTAATAGAAGAGTGATCTAGGATGATCCCTTGCATATCTGGGCACAGTTTAATAAATGTCAATGTGTAAAAACAAACACACTCTAAGTAGGAATAAAATCTTTGTTGCACCATGACCCAGAAATGGTACTTAGCTAACTAAATGTAACATGAGCCAGAAAAGAACTTTGTGTTTGACAAGTCCAGCAATTTAAGATTCTCATTTTTATGACTGATGCAGTTTTGAAAGACAGCTCTTAAAAGGCTCATCTAGATTCTCCAGATCTTATTCTTCATGAGTTATTATTGGTTGCCCACAGAAGGCAGTTGCTCTCTGTACTAACCTACTGGTGGTTTGGGACAATGAAACAAGTTAATATATTTAACCTCTCCCCAAATGAGGCCATCAGAGACAAATGCCATGAGGGGTGTGTGTTGGGTGGGATTGGGGTGGGAGTGAAGGACTTCAGGTTTTTCCATCATGGCAAGCTTGTTTTGGTCAACCAGGGTGCACCTAGAGGTCACTACATACCTGTTTTACCAAACAAATTATTAAATCTTCTTGATATTGGAGAACTCATAGAAAACACGGGTGTGGATGAACCTAAGGATGTTGACTAGAAGAGAGAAAAAAAAAAAAAAAAAAAAAAAAAAAAAAAAAAAAAATCACAAAGAGCAAATTTTTAGACCAATGCAGAGGATTTTAAAAATTTGCTGTCCTCTAGTGGTCACAATCTTCCTGTCTAATCCCACTCCCTTATGTGGCTTAAAAAAAAAAAAAAAAAAAAAAATCCAAACCCACTGCCCTCTAGTCAGATTCTGACTCAGAGAGAGCCCTATTGGGTTTCCAAGGTGGTAAATCTTTATGGAAGTAGATTGTCCCATCTTCCTTCAACAGAGCAGCTGGTGGGCTTGAACCACCAACCTTCTGGTTCACAATCAAATGCCTCACAGGCACTGTGCCACCAGAGCTCCTTTATGTAGCCTAGATGAGCTGAATTTCTACTTCACACAAATCAAGCAGGAGTACCACCTTGAGATACTCGAATCTCATCATTAACATTAGGTAAATACCTTTAAAATATATATTTTACTCGTTTACAGTTCTAGTATTTTCTGGTCTCAAAACGCAGTGAAATATATTCTAATCCAAAGATTGGATGCTTGAGCCCACCAAGAGGTACCTCAGAAGAAAGGTGTTGCAACCTCTGAAATATCAGCCATTGAAAGCCCTCTGATGCAGAGTTCTACTCTGACACATACCGGATCGCCATGAGTCAGAATCAACTCAATGCCCACTGGTAAGGTAAAGTATTTTCCAAAATGAGCTACAGAAAAATCCTACTCATCATTATTCCTCAAATTATTTTCTTTTATACTTGAATCCCCTGAGGAGATATTTTATTATTGAAAGTTTGAATTTAACCTTCAGTTTATATCATCTGTGCTATTCAAATCCCTATTTAAAGATGTGAGGGTAGCATCTTAACAATAGCACCATGTCTGTGTGTAACAACAGAATGAGGTGAGAACCAAAATAACTGAATAATCTATGCTGAAAATAGTTGTGGAAGGAAAGGGGTTTGTGGATGCAGTGTAATTAACCCTAAAGATAAAAATCCTAAGATAAATATTTAGTACCCTCTCCTTCACCTTATTTGTGGAATACTTTAGGGCAAAAAACAGAAATTCGTCACAAAGGAAAGGTTTACCTTTGAGTGCTGTGAAGACCATCTTGACAGTGAAAACTTATTCAGCAAAGCTTCCTGGACCTGCATTGTTTAAAAGAAGAAATTGTCAATTCAACTCACCACAAATACCATAAATTTCTAGAAACATGAAATTTTTATTGTTCTTACCTTCTGATCCCAGAGACATCCAAACAGTAAAATGAATAATCCCTGGGAAAAGTATTGGGAAAAAATCCATTTTAATTATATTCTATAATCCAGCAATAAATACACACACACACACACAAACACACACTCATACCAAAAAAGTCATTATCATTGAGTTGATTTCAACTCATAGTGACCCCCACTGGGTTTCCAAGGCAGTAAACCTTTGCAGAAATAGATTGCTTCATCTTCCTTCTGCAGAGAACCTAGTGCATTTGAACCATCAACCTTCTTGTTAGCAGTCAAATGCCTTAGGCACTGCACCAACAGGGTCTATGCGTGTGTATGTACATACACACATATATACAAAGAAGCCCTAGTGTCACAGTGATAAAGTAATAAAGCACTCATCTGCTAATCAAAAGGTCAGTGGTTCAAACCCACCCACTGTGGGAGAAAGATGTGGCAGTGTGCTTCCGTAAAGATTTACAGCCTTACTACTACCAACTGCTCTGATTAGGACCACAGTGAAAGGTGCTGGACAGAGTGGGAGAAAATTGTGGAACAAAACTTAAGATCATAAAAAAGACCTGACTTATTAGTCTGACAGAGACTGGTAGAACTCCCAAGACTGTGGCCCTTAGACACCCGTCAACCTTGTAACTGAACTTACCCCCGGTGATTAACTTTCAGCCAAACAATAGGCCTATAAGTGAACAATAACACCAGGGAAAAATGCACTCCTTAGAATAATCAACTACATGAGAGCAAAAGGCCAACTTTTGACCAAAAATAAAACTCAGAAGGTAGGAAGAGGCAGCAAAGAAGTATGAATGGAAATGGGGGAACACAGGGAGGAAGTGGAATGAGTACTATTACTTATATGGATTGTAATCAATGCCAAGAAACAAAATATGTATACATTGTTGAATAGAAAACTAATTTGTTCTGTAAACTTTCACCGAAACTATAACAACAACAACAACAACAATATATATATATATATATATATATTGACAGCCTTGGAAACCCTATGGTTCAGTTCTGTTCTGTCCTATAGGGTCACTATGAGGTGGTATATATAATAAATATTATATATTTACATACTATTTATTTATATGGGAGCTCTGGTCGCCTAATAACTAAAGCATTTGACTGCTAACCAGAACACTGGTGGTTCAAACTCACCAGCCACTCCTTGGAAGGAAGAGTGGGCAATCTACTTGGAAACTCAAAGAGGGGTCACTATGAGTCAAATTGACTTGACGGCAGTGATTTATGTATATTTTTGTTCAACAAAAAAGGTAGCACTCTTAGCCCGATGTTGAATCGATACTACTTCTTTCCTCATTTGAGTTTATGAAATGAGTCCAGTACATGATAATGTTGAAAAGGATATAGCAGGACCACACCAAGGGAATGTAAATGCTAGAACATCATAAAGCTATTTTCCCCAAATTTTGAATTGGAGGTCCTGCTGGTTATGGTACTAACCATACTTTCGTCTAGGAGCTCTGGTGGTGTAGTACCTAAGGCATTTGACTGCTAACCAGAAGGCTGACAGTTCAAACCCACCAGCCACTCCTCCAAGGGAAGACTGGGCAACCTACTTCCGTAGAGATACTGCCTCAGAAACCCCAGGAGGGGTCACCATGAGTCGGGACTGACTCAACAGCAGTGAGTTTGGTTTTTGGTTTATACTTACATCTACAGTATTCATCATATAGTTACGATGGGGACCTTGAGTCTGGCATGGGATAATCAGTTTCTTCTGAACAAGTTATATTATGAAGGTCATTAGATATGAGCCTTACAGCTTGTATTCATGGGCCTAGCAGCAGAAGTTAGGATTTACATGGTTTGGCACAAGTGTACAAAGGACACTAGCTCAACTTCATCTCCAGAGCCCTAGCTTTGCACCAGCTCACAAGGCCCTCCATGTTCAAGCAGCTTTGCCTATCCTTACTACCCCTCCACTGGGTGAATCATCATTAATCACTCCCTTCCTGGTGCTCCAAAGGCTTGTTGTATGTACCTCTGTTATAGCCCCCTTCTAACAGTATGGCTTGTGTTATAATTAGTTATGTGCTTCAAGAGAGCAAAAAAGATGTCTTTTTCATTTTTGCATAATCCAGCAGTGTCTGCCTTACACAGGGCATTTGTTATTTATCAGCAAATGTTTCCAGGCAACCTACTATGTAGTGAAGAGTATTAATTTCATTCACCAAATATTTATTAAGCACCTACTCTGAGCCAAGGTATTTACTAAGTACAGTGGTGTAATGTTAATGAGCATGTCTGCTAATTGAAAGGTTAGAGGTTCAAGTCCATCTGTAGGCACCTCAAAAGAAAGGTCTGGTGATCCACTTCTGAAAAATCAGCCACTAAAAACCCTTTGGAGCATAGTTCTACTTACTACAGGTGGAGTTGACATGAGTTGAAGTCAACTCCATGGCAACTGGTTTTAGGGATATAGTTATCAACAGGACAGGTGTGATCCCTGTGCTCACAAAGACAGAGCTCATTGAGTACTTATGGCAATTAACGAGAGATTACTTGGTTTAATAGTAGTATTTTCACTTAGGTGATAATAAACTGCTTCAAGATAATGTTGGCTAAATAGAAAAATCCAGGGTAGGGAAGAGGCATTGCCCCTGCCTGTATTATCAGGAAATATGCCTGGGCATTTAGAAGAGAGTTGGTGCATGAAACTAAATTATAATGCTGGTGATAAAAGGTATGAACTTCTATGGGAACAGAGGAGTGTGTCCTTTCTATCTCATTGAGTTCTTATAATAATTATTACTCTTTATTGCTAGGGATTGTACTAAAATCCTTCCTCATTCCTACTCCTATTTGTGTTTCTGCAATTATTTTGTCCCACCAGAATAGATACTTCTTGAAAGCCCTGCACTCAGAACTTACCTGAAAGGCGTTGAGAAGGGTAAAGATGATATGGAACACAGCATTGCTACCCTGGAACACAGTGGCCAGACCAAAGCCCCATGTGAGCCCCAAGAGTGGCGTGAGAACTCCAATGCTCTTACTGATCTGAAATAGGCTGCTTTTCTCCTGCTTGCTTGGCTTGTCTCCAATGGAAGGCCTCAGGATCTTGGTGATGACCACAACTGTGATGGTCACATTCACCACCACAATGATCAGTGCTGGGATGATGAAAGCCAGCAGGGCCTTGGTGTCCTCCCAGTTGAGCCAACAGGCATTCTTCCTTGTGTAGACTTCCTGTGGCTGGGTGGCCCCCACGGTGATGACTGAGATGACAAGCGGGCAGCCATAGCCAAGAGAGAAAGCAATGGCCTTCTGGATGGACTTGCTTGTGTCATGAAGGATGAAAACCAGACGATAGAAGAGCATGAGGCCCAGTGTCAGCATCCAAAAGAAGACGCTGAGGTAGAAGAAGTGAATGAAGAAGGTGGCAGCTACACAGGCAGTTTCATTGAGGGGATAGTGATGGTCATGGATGGCAGCAGCCACAATGAACCAGGTGTCAGCAACTAGAAGTGAGGCAGCAATATTCACTATGCAGATGTGGCGCATATAAGATGTCCGGTTCTTAGTCACTGATTTCCATACCACAGATTCCACCACCAGACAGGCTGCTAAGCTCAAGATGGAAAAGCCCAACCCAATGTAAGAAATTATATCCAGTAGTATTTTCAGGAGCGAACCAGGGTCTGGGGAGTCAGGAGACATGAGGATAGAGAATGACGTTAAGTGGTCACAGGTACAGGAGACACTGTCTCCATATACTTCTTTAACATAGCACCCATCACTATCCCACCCCCCTGTGTGATTGGCGAGGTTGAAGTTCCAGAAGACACATCGTGGTACTCCACCAGAAGGGTTGTTATTCTTAAAAGTCATTGAAATCCTGAATGGCATAGTTATATGGTAGCTGACAGTGGTTGTCATCACTAAGCTCTTTGCAAAATTCTGTGCCTGAACATCCTGAGCAAGAATAGTTTTGAGAGTTGGGAAAGCCACCGTGACAATAGATGAATCTGGCTGCAAACTTTCCAGCTGGGACTTGTCAATGACCACGTTGCCCCAGAGGTCCGTGTCTGAGAAAACAAAGCTCTGTTCATAGTTTTTTGGGTGGCCAGCTTTGAGGACTACACCCCTCATCTGCACGTTTGTGTGGGAGATAGACAGAATAGTGCTATCTCCTGACTGTAATGCTCGGGAAAACCTCTCCATTGAATCCAGTAGCCGTGAACTCTCATTGGTCTGTTGCTCTTGTAAAATCTTCCAGGTACTCAGGGTAGGCATTCCAAGAATGACATTAACCGTAGAGAGAACGTGCTGCAATTACATAGCATGATGTCAAACCAACCAAATTCTTTCAACATAAAGAGGAGAAAAAAATAGCATGCCCTTGAAAATTACTTGAGTGGGTACAGGTAAGAGGAAAAGAACAGAGAGATAGATGAGGTATAACAGACTGTGGGGATCTGTGACCTGTCTTCTTATGGTAGGGAGTTGGCAGAGGATGGATCCCTAAACCAATGAGGCTTTAAATAGTTAGCAATAGTGATAGTGGAAATCACTCCCCACCACCTACTAAGAGCAATTCAGCAGGCTAGCAGAGATATTTATTAAAGGTTTCATTATATATATTTTTAAAATTTCAAACCTGTAAAGTTTTTTTGGTGAATATGAATTTATATGCAAGGGTGAGAAAGTCTCAAATGACCCCCGCAAACCCTGAACATCAAATGAGCTATGCAAATATTGTCAAAGGCATCTTTCTTTTTGGACAAACAACTTGATTCTTTCTCCTACAAACTTGGGCTCATCATTTTCCCTTTGTGTCTTGACCTGCTTTGCCTTGTTCTGTCCTTCGGAAAGATGACCCCTTTGGGTTCTGTTACCCAGTCAGCTTGCCAATTGCCCTCTAGTTGGGTTCTACCAATGGGAGTCACTGGAAGAAGATGGTAGAGTGAAGAAGAGACAAGTTGGAATATATTTTCTCACTACCCACCCCCTCCTGCAGCTTCCTTACTACATCTCTGACATCAGTTTTGATCTTCCAAGACTACAGCTCCTGTTGAGTGGTCCCTCCTCCAATGTTTCAGCTTTCACTTGTCTCTAGCAACACTAGTGGCTTCCATGTGTTGATGGTCCCTGGGTGCTTCACACCCCTTATTTGTTCTCTAACACTGGCTTCTCCTCTAAGTATCCCTTCATTAAAGCCTCTTTCTTTGAACAATTGTGGGTAGATTCTCATTTCTACCTGAACCCTTATTGCTTCAAAGCTCATATTTAGTGTTACCCAGCTTGTACTTATTCTCAGAAGTTTTTGTCCCTAGTTCTGCTGAAAAACAGAAAGGAATTCATTTTATTTAAGTGAAGAAAACAAAGCAGAGGTTCACTAAAGAAATCTTAAGGTCCCAAAGTGAATTTTGGAAACGTTATCCAACATCCTAAAGGCATAGCTGGAAGAGGCATGCTCTATGGCTGTAGCATCTATAGCACTGCATTACTCTGGAAAAGTTAGAGTAGTAGCAGCAATGGTGATGAGTTGGGTTTCTTGACTTTAAGTACTGAGATATGAAAAGGTGAGACCCAAAATTCTTGCAAGGAAAAACTCACCGTCATCATTTGTGAATTCACTTGGGATGGAACTGTTGAAAGTAAATCAAGGATGCTAATAATGGCTCCCAGATTACCAGGAGATGAGCTGATTTCATGTTCCACTTTGCCTGTGCTAATAGATAGATTATGGAGATATGTGGGGAGCTTCTCATCCTGAGAGGGGCTCTTAATCAAAGCCTAGTAGAATAAAAACAAAAGAAAACCTTGTCAGTCCAGTCATCAAATTCTGTTGATCCATCCATGGTACTTCACATCCATAGTTTCCTTTTTTCCATTCCCACTGTCAGTTGTTCTTACATAACGCTTCATCTTTCTAGATACCTCCAATCTCTCCCTTATTTAACCCACCAAAATGACATTCACGACATATCATTTTACTATGTTATTTCTCTGATGTTCAGAGGTTTCCCTAGACACACAAGGAAAGTCCAACATCTTTTGCTTATTTTTAACTCACTTTTGAGTGGCCTGACACTTGATATGTAATTGGTGCTCAATATAGATTGATAATCAAAGAAATTTCAATATCTCTCCAATTAAATTACACACTTCTTAACAACATGGACCAGGTGCTTTATTTCTGTTTATTTTTCTCATACCCCATAAGAAGCTCTGGTTGCACAGTGCCTAAGGGATTTGACTGCTAACCAGAAGCCTGGAAGTTCAAACCCACTAGCCACTCCTTGGAAGGAAGGTTGGGCTATCTACTTCCATAGTGGTACCACCTTGGAAACCCAAGGAGGGGTTGCTATGAGTTGGATCCACATACCCCATAAAGCCTCACACAGTGAAAAATCTAACACATAAAGTCTAACACAGTTAATCATGCACATAGCAAGTGTTCAATAAATGTATGCTGAGTGGATGAACCAAATGGAGCACCATAGACTAGCATGCACCCCATTCCAATGAAAATAATCTAGGTATCTAGAATTGGGATCAGGGCCCAACTTGGAATTCAAATGACAATTTCTACCTTTCCTAGTTAAATTCACTTATATCCCCTGTGTTTCACCATTAAGGTCCAACTCAAATGCTAAGTTTTTCAAGTAGAACTTTCTGATTATCCTGACAAAAAGTTAATGCACACAACTACCCAACTACATTTATTCTCTATGAAATCAGAGGCCAAGTTCAGTTTACCTTTTTACCTGTCAGCACTTATAAAAATGACCTACATAGGTATTTTAGTGTAGTCAGTAGGATACCAGATGAGAGATATATAAGATAATTAGATAAAACATAAAACAAAGGCACTTCCTTTTTTCAATTTTCTGGTGTTAAGAGGATTTGTTAAGAGGTTGTCAGAGGTTGGCACCATTAGTTGTAATCCCACCAGTATCTTTTTGTTGCAGCTCATGGAATTTTAGGGGTCTCTAACTTACAAGAAATGAAGTGTGATGTGACATTTAATTATTCTTTCATGTGAAGAAAGGAATTTTCTCTTGCCATGTAGCGGTAACCTCTATTCTAGGTTAAGAGAGGTAAGTTACTCCATTTTATGGAACTATTGGTTAGCTCTAAGAATTTAGTAAATCTCAGACCTCTGAAAGTATAAAGTCCAACTTTTTTTTTTTGCATTGATAAACATTATTTTATATATTGTCCTCCTGTTATAAAGGTTAGAGCTATTAGCTTGATCTCAAAATAATGCAAAGGAAAGCAGTAAGAAAGAGCATAATACCATCTCCCCTTGGAGATACTGGAAACAAGATACTGAGAAGTTCAAGTCAAGGTATACAGCTAGTCCTAGAGTAGAACACATACTTTGTTGCTGCTATATTTATACATAAGCATTTCAAAGCATTTCTAGGTTTACATCTTCTTTGGAAATGAACAAATAAGAAGAGATTTCAGAACAACATAACCCAACCCAAGTCTGATTTTCCTAAGGGCTGAGAACTATGATAACCCAGACAGATATCCCCAGGGAGCTGAGTCAAAAGTTTAAGGATCACCTTGGCCAAGTGGAGCAGACTATTAATTGGGGCAGAGATACAGTCATTCCTCTTCACCATCCACTTGGAGCCTTCACATTTGTAAGTGATGATCCCACCAATGGGACTGCTAGGGCTGCTGGGAATGTTTGAGAATTGGCATAGCTTCTGGATGACTTTCCCAGGCTCCCCCACACCTATGATGGGATCCTGGCATGTGATGTTTTCCCCTGCAGTGGAAACATGGAAATAAAGAGACAATTGAGAGGAGGAAGAAAGACTGGATATATAATCAGTTCTAGGTAGACTTTTGAAACTTGAATTCCTTTTTTTCTCTTTGTTTTCAGTGACCTTTTCCAAGGTTCCCAGTTTCTTTATTTTGTCCCTGATTTTCCCAAGTTCCTCACAAACTCGACTCCCTTAATTTTCATTTGTTTTCCCTAACAGAATTTATTTCCTCCATGCCTCATTCCACCCCTAGTTCTAGGTTTTTGATGTGTGGAAAAACAAAACCATGGAAAATGACAAAAGCTTAATGTATGCCCATCTGGATTAGAAACATTCAGTTTACCAGGAGCCTAACGAGCTCTGGTGTCATAGTGTCTAAGGCATTTGACTGCTAACCAGAGGGCTGATGATTCAAACCTACCAGCCACTCTTTGGAAGGAAGGTTGGGTAATATACTTCCACAGTGATACCACCTCAGAAACCCAAGGAGGGGTCGCTGTGAGTTGGATCTGACTCGACGGTAATGAGTTTGGTTTTTGGTTGGAAGGACACAATGCCTTATTTCAGGGATTCTCAGCTCTGACGTATTAAAATAATCTGAGAAGCTTTTGAAACTCCCCCAATGTCCAGGCTCACTACAGCCCAAGCAAATCAGAATCCCTAGATGTGGGATCCAGACATTCATGGCGGTTCAAATGCATCAGCCACACCTTGAAAGGAAAGTTGGGCAATCTACTTCCGTAGTGATACTGCCTCAGAAACCCAAGGAGGGGTCGCTAAGAGTCAGAATTGACTCTACATCAGGCAGTGAGTTTGTTTTTTTTTTTTTTTTTTTTTGGCAGATGATTCTAATGTGCAGCCAAGTTCCAGAAGCATTGCTTTAACCTAAAGACATAATTAGTCATATGAATTTCAGCCACTACAAAGGTAGGTCCCTTGCTGTGCAGTAGTAGTTAAATATAGTCTGCTTCAATAAATATTCCAGCCTTGGAAATCTTATGGGGCAATTCCACTCTATCACATAGTTGGAATCAACTAGGTGACAATGGGTTTTTGTTTTATTTTTAATGACCTGAGTATTCCAGGTGATCGATTTAAACATTTGTTCCTTCAGACTCTCCTTAAAGACAATTTTATTTCACTATTGCTTAAGACCAGACCTGAATGGGGAAAATGACACTTGTTGCAGAGTCTCTAGATTTCCAGGGAACCCTGATTCTGATGAAGGAGAAGCCCACTCCCTCATTCAATTGTCTTATTTAGCATTAATTCAAATCTCAGTCATTATATAAAAATCTTAAAATGGGGAAAAGAAATAGAATTAGACTTGGTATGAAGAAAGAGGAGAACAACAAAGGCAAGTGAATAAAACCTGTTGACCCCCTGGGCTAAGATGCAGGGAAAATGAAGAGGTGACCTTGACTCACCAAGGAGGTCAGAGCACAGTGACTCAGAGATAGAGGGAATTCTAAACTGCTTCTTGCTTTGGTGTCTAAGATCTAGTAACCAATCATGTGAGAATGACCACAAATTACACAGGACACTTCAACAAGATGGGTGATAGAGCCATGAGTTCCTTTTGATATCAGGGGTCATTTACTGGGAAGACTTCTGGAGAGATTGCTTGTGGCAGAATTCCAGGATCATCATTTATTCACTTGCCCTACAATTGCTAATGAGGAGAGCTCTTTAGCATGAGTTAATACAGAAATGGCTCTACAAATCATGACCTTTTACCTTGAAAACATTTTATGAGGGCATGTTGGCTCAGGGATGACAAAAGATGGGAAAGCTATTGCCTATTCCTAGTAGTTGCATTCTTTTCATGCAACACTGTCTCAGGACTGCAGTGGTAATGGAGACATCTTTCTTTTGCTGCAATCTCAAGAGAAAGTCAGCTGCACACAGATATTGTCCACATTTATCTGCTCACTAAACTGCTGAGCCTCCCAGACTCATCAAAAACATGATTTCATCTGCAATGATTTCTTGACCGCTTCCTCCCCACTTATCAACAGTAGAGTTAGACTCTCTTCTAGCTGCCCACAACATCTCTACTTTAGCACGTAGTATGTTGTACATGAAAATATTTTATCATATCCAGCTCCTTGAATTGAAGATTGAAGGACTGAAGTGAGGAAGCATGACTTATTTACTTTTAAATGCTTGATGTTCAGTATATATTTATTGAATGAATGAATAAAATTGTGAATGAATTAACTGATTTCTGCCCATGACTATAATGTTTTAAAGCAATTTAAAATGCCCTTACCAGGTAGCAGATCAAGCTTCATCGATGGGCTCCGGACTGAGTTATTGGCAGCATTGGTAAAGTGACAGAACATCTCAACATCTTTTGGACACCAGGAGTTCGAGTTTGCCATGAAATTGTGCTTGTATTTGTAGCACACTTGCTTTCCATTAACTTCTTTTGCTAAAGATAAAGTGATAGAAATTTAAGTCACAACATATATCTCAAAAGTACAAATTTTATTATGATGATCCAATATGGATAAACTTGTCAAAACTTTTTTTTTTTTTTCAAATCATGCTCCATATTAGCTCAATATCTTTATTTTCTCAGGAATATGCCACTTTCATTTTTAATGTGATTTTATTTATTTACTTTTAGCCTCTGGCTCTTCCATGTGAATAAACACACATTTGCATGTGTGCTAGCCGAAACTTTACCTGTACCTTTCTTGACTCCAAATCTGTACCCACACATGATTTTGCAGCATCGCTCTACCTAACCACATCTCATTTATCTTATTCTGCCTTCATTACATTGTTTGAAAACTACTTATTTATGGGTTGTCTCCTCTATTAGACAATGTTCTCCTGAAGAGCAAGTCCTCATTCTTATTTATCATTGCAACTTCTGTTGGCTAGTTCAGTGACTGTCACACAGAAAGCACTGGATGCATACATGTTGAATAAAAAATGTTGAAAGGTTTTAATACTTTAATATCCAGATTGATTCCATGGCTCTCTACCATACAGCTTTCTCTAAACACTCTAAGTTTTATTGGGCCCCTGATTTCCTGAACTTCCATTGTTCTTTCCATTTACATTATTCATTTTAGATGTTTAATTGTATATGCATTGTTTTTATGACATGGACTATTCTAGATATTAACATATGTGTCTCAGTTTGTTTTGCTCCTTCTCAATGCCTAACATAGTGCTTTGCATTAATAAGGTCCTCAATGAATAGTTATTGAAAGAATGAATGAACTTTTAAAACCCTCATGAAAGTGTCAATGTTTTGAGATTTTGGATTGAGAGCTTATATTTGGTTGACTTTAATCTATGGGAATCATGAGAGATCTGGATGGAGGGTACTATCTAATAGTGAGGATTTGAATTTGTTTTTGCCCAGGGCCATGGTGATGCTACCAATGGACCACTTGAAATTAATATCTCAGTTTGGAGTTTCATGAACCACATAGGCAGGGTAAATTCAAACCCCCAGCCTTGGTGAAGGCAGAACAGTTAAAATTCTCAAAGAGACTTCTTCTCACCCAGAGATGAGGCCATGATCTAACTTCTCACAAATCGATTTTGCTTTTCTAACTAGTTTTTCACTGAGCATGAAACCCAGTAAGGGTCCAGATATTGTGCAGGCTGAGGTGGAATGGGTGGGATGGCTTAGCTACAGCCTAGGGAGCAAGGCCTTTTCATTATGTCTTTTACCATCTATAAACTCAAGGTCCTCACTGAGATTATGGCCCCTAGCTGCCCTTCAGGTCTGGAATTGAACCAATACCTGTGGCTTCCAGCCAAATAAAAGACAGGCATATGAGTTAACATTTACCTAGGGTAGATACACTCCTTGGAGAGAACAATCATGGGAGAAAGAAGGGGTGTTTCTGCACAGGGAGACAGCTCAGGGGGCAGGAGTGCATGGAGGGATGGATACAGGGAAGAGGTAACTATTGGGAGGAAGTGAGAGGGCAGCTGTTACATTGGGGTAAATTGTAGTCAATGTCATGAGACAAAGTGTATGTAAACTGCTGTGTGGAAAGTGAATTTGCTCTGTAAACTTCCACTGAAGTCATAATAAAAACAACAACAACAAAACAAGGTACTGGACTTCTGATATTGGAAAGGTTCAGGGGATCCATAATTAGATAACGCTCACCCCTCTATTTCTCTTTCCCTCTATGTTTGTAGTCCTTGGTTATTTGTCTTACTTTCTTTTATGCTCAGTTATGCATTTAAAAACATTTTTGTCTTATTTTTACAGCCTGTCTAGGTGTTTCATGGAGGAATGGACTATCAGGCTATATCTAGTCTTCCATATTGAGTAAGTGAGAATTCCAGAAAGGTGTTTTAATACTGTCTTCAACAGCTCCCACTGCTATCCATACACCAACACAGAATAGAAGGTTACAAAGACTTATGGGATTCTGCTCTATCACATTCTGTTTCTGACACTGTCTCTTGGTCTTTATTCCCTATTTTAACAGTAACGTTTTAGACTGCACATATGTGAAATAATATTGCCCAAGCAATTCAACAGTTGTCCTCTTACCAGCAGGAAAGAAAAAGGAATCCATTTGGAAAGTAACTTTGTAGTCTTCATCCTCCTCTATACAGCACTTGAAGCTGTAGGAACCTTTGCATGGAACTGCAGCTTTCAAGGGATCAATCATGATGTTCGGCTGTAGAGGCAGCGGGTAAACAGTGACATCCTTGGTTGCTACACTATATGAATTTTTATATCTAAATATACAGTGATAGGTTCCTGAGTGGAAGAAAACAAACATAAAACATAATGAAATATTCATTCATAAAAGACTGGGAAGGTTAAAAAGAGAAAAAGCTCCCTGTCAAGTTTGTACGAGAGCACAATACCCCTTCCTGAACTCTAGAAGAGATGCTTGATCAGTTCCCCTCCTGAATTCTCCATGTATTCAAAGAATTAACCAATGGTCACCTAAATATTACTGACTTTTGAATATATTTAAGTGGGTTATCTAAGATCATACAGCAGTTAGGGGTGGAACTGGGTTTCAAACCAGCTTCCAGGATCCTACGCCCAGATTCTTTTACCAACCCAGGGCATAAATGGCAATGTTGGTGTGTGTTGGAATGAGAATTTCTTTGAAGGCAGTTGCTAGCCTGATAAAATGTTGTGGTGTGATATCCACTCTCTTAACCTGACCACATCTCTAAGTAAGCAGACTTCTCAGGCTTTTGGGACATCATGGTATAAAGAGTGTGGTCAGAGAGGCTGTGTGTGTGTGGGTGGGGGGAGACAGAGAGAGAGAGGGAGAGAGAGAGAGAGAGAGAAATCTCTTGGGAGAGCCTGACCTGTGGATCCAGGAGTTTAATGTCTGACTCCATCTAAACCCCATTGCCATCAAGCCAATTCCAAATCATGGCAACCCCATGTGTTACAAAGTAGAATGGTTCCATACAGTTTTCTTGGTTGTAATCTATGAAAACAGTTGGCCAAACCTTCCTTCCATGGAACTACTGGGTGAGTTTGAAATACCATCCTTTAGGTTAGCAACTGATAGCAAACCACTTGTGACATGTAGATACTTTCTGACTCTGTCTAGAAAAGTCTAAAGACAGAAGTGCTGGCAGGTCTTGTTGGAGTGAAAAGGGAGCTGCAGCAGTAGTAACCTGTACACAAAGTGTTTGGTGAAGCAGAGGGTACAGTGTATAAAATGGTTGGGTTGAGCTTTGAAAGAACCTTGTTTAATTGGACATTATGCCAGGGCCCATGAGGGAATGAAACACCATTGAGTAGCTGCTATGGAGATAGTATAATAAGATTATAAACAGTACCTACAGTAAAGTAAGACCCTTCATCTTTCTTTACATTACTTCTCTTTGCTTCAAATCTATAGAAACCAGAAGAGTAGCTACCTGGTGGGAAAGACATCTAATAAGGAGAGTGAAGAAGCTTCGTTCAACTCTTTTCTATACTGTTTTAGGGGAGGAAAAATTTAAATTAGATATAAAATCAAAGTGTAGTAGATCTAGATCAGGATAGGTTTTTTTCAGTACCTGAGTAGAGGACTGTTCTAATAGTTTAATGCAAGCAGAAAAGCTATGGGCTCTTCCTAAGTTAGTTGCAGGAAAGAGCAATTTGACAGAGTGGACAGAGTATGTTAGAGATCAGCCTTAAAGAAAATATTCTCATTCCTGATTGTACACCACCAAGTCCAGCACAAACAATAATGTTATTTCTACAACATTGCCTAGAACTTATATGGAAAACATAAATAAAATGTAGGACTCACAGGATCTGCAGTGAATTCTGTAGTTATTTAAAGGAAGCAGAGTTGAGTGGTTAAAAGCCAGCCACTAGAAGCAGCCAGCCTGGGTTGCAACCCTAGCATTGCCATTTACCTGGGTAAGGTAAGTTACCTAACCATACCTAGAGGTGGTTTCCTTGTCTGAAAAATGGTGATAATAATAGCACTATCTTCAAGGTTTGTTGTATTAAATAAATTAATACATTTAAATACTTAGGACAACATATATCTCATAGCAAGTTCTCAATAAATGACAGCTATTATTGTGGCAGTTCTGTCTAGTAGATTCCTTTTGCATTCAGAGACTTGATTTTCCTCCCAAAATGAATAATTTATAGAGGTAAAATAATGATGAAAAAGGGCTGTTGTCAAATTTGACTCATGGCAACCCTACGTGTATCAAAGAAGAACTGTCCTTCCAAGGGCTCTCAATGGCTGATTTTTTGGAAGTGCTCCTCTGAGTGGATGTGAACCTCCAACTTGCAGTTAGAAGCAGAGTACATTAACTGTTTGTACCACCCAAGGACTCCAAGGCTCTTGGAATAGAATTTGCTATGGAGTCTTGGATAGAATTTGCCATGGAGTCTTAGAATAGAATTTGGTAAAATAGAAAAAAGAAATTATGTTCTTTGGGACCAGGCATACAAAACTTTCACTTAATTTTTTTTTTTTTTTTTTTTTAATGCACTACAGTGGGTGAAGGAGCTCTGGTAGCACAGTGACTAAGGCACTTGACTGCTAACTGGAAGGCTGGCGGTTCATACCCAACAGCCACTTCTCGGAAGGAAGGTTGGGCAATCTATTTCCATAGTGATACTGCCTTGGCAACCCAAGGAGGGGTCGCTATGAGTCGGGGCTGACTCAACGGCACATAACAACAACAACAACAGTGCATGAAACACTTCCAAGAGTCTGGTAAAAGGTCTTTAAAAACAAAAATTCACTTAACTTCATGGAAGAGTACAGGCTCTGTAGTCAAGGAGATCTGGTTGCAATCTACAATTTAAGGTGTGTAAGCACAGGCACAACCACTCATCTCTCAGTTTGTCATACTGTGGTGGTTTGTGTTGCTGTGATGCTGGAAACTATGTCACTGGTATTTCAAATGCCAGCAGGGTTACCTGTGGTGGATAGGTTTCAGTGGAGCTTTTGGGCTAAGACAGACTAAGAAAAAGGACCTGGCAACCTACTTCTAAAAACACTTGCCAGTGAAAACCTAATAAATAGCAGCAGAACATTGCCTGATGTAGTGCCAGAAGATGAGTCCCCTAGGTTGGAAGGCACTCAAAACATAATAGTGAAGAGCTGTCTCTTCAAGGTAGAGTCAACCTTATTGACATGGATGGAGTAAAGCTTTTGAGACCTTCATTTGCTAATGTGGCATGGCTCAACATGAGAAGAAACAGCTGTAAACATCCATTAATAATCAGAATGAGAAATATGCAAAATATGAATCTAGGAAAATTAGAAGTAATCAAAAATGAAAGTAAGCTGTAATGAACTGGTATTGACCTTTTGATTTGTACAATCATACAGTCTGCTATGTAGGGAATAACAAATTAAAGAGAAACAGCTTCACATTCATTGTCACAGAGAACATTCCAAGATGTATCTTGAAGTGCAATGCTGTAAGTGACAGGATAATATCCATATGTCTGTGAGGAAGACCAGTTAATACTACTATTATTGAAATTTACACACCAACCACTAATGTCAAATATGAATAAGGTTCTTTTTCTTTTTCTTTTTTTTTTAACTAACTGTGCCAAATTTTTATTAACTTCTGAAGTCTGAGATTTTATCCAACATGCAATCAAGATGCATTGATAATTACTGGTGATTGCAATGTGAAAGTTGGAAACAAAGAAGAATGATCGGTAGTTGGAAAATTTGTTTTGGTAATAGAAATGATGCTGGGAGATAGCATGACAGAATTTTACAAGACTACTGACCTATTAACTGGAAATAGTTTTTCCTCAACAACATAATCTATGACTATACACATAGACCTCACCATCTGTGACTATGCACATAGACCTCATCAGATGGAATACCCAGGAATCAAATCGATTATATTTGGGGAAAGAGAGGATGGAAAAGCTCAATATCATCAGTCAGAACAAGGCCAGGGGGCTAGCTGAAATAGACCATCAATTGCACATATGCAAGTTTAAGTGGAAGCTGTAGAATATTAAAACAAGACCATGACAACCAAAGTGCAATCTTGAATATATCTCACCTGAATATACAGACCATCTCAAGGATAGATTTGATGCATTGAATACTTATGGCCAAAGACAGATAAATTGTGGGATGTCATCAAGGACATTAGACATAAAGAAAGCAAAAGGTATTGAAAAAGAAAGAAAAAAACAAAATGAATGTCAGAAGAAACGCTGAAACTTTCTCTTGAACTTATAGAAGCTAAAATGAATGGAAGAATGATGAAGTAAAAGAGCTGAAAAGAAGATTTCAAAGAGCAGCTCAAGAAGACAAAGTAAAGTATAATGAAATGTGCAAGGACCTGGAGTTAGAAAACCAAAAGAGAAGAACACACTCAACATTTCTCAAATTGAAAAGGCTGAAGAAAAAAATTCAAGCCTCAAGTTGCAATATTAAAGGATTCTAAGGGAGAAATATTGAACAATGTAGGAAGCATCAAAATAAAATAGAAGGAATACACCATCACTGCACCAAAAAGAATTAGTTGATGTTCCACCATATAAGGAAGTAGCATATGATCAAAAACTGATGGTATTGAAAGTAGAAGTCCAAGCTGTGCTGAGGGAAGTGGTGAAAAAGATGTCTCCAGGAATTGATGGAATACCAATTGAGATGTTTCAAAACACGAATGCAGTGTTGGAGGTGCTCACTTGTTTATACCAAGATATTTGAAAAGACAGAAACCAGGCCAACCAACTGGAAGAGACCCATATTTGTGCCTGTTCCAAAGAAAGGTGATCTAATAGAATGCAGAAATTATCAAACAATATCACTAGTATCATACACAAGCAAAATTTTGCTGAAGATAATTCAAAAATGGTTGCAGCAGTACATCAACAGGGAATTGCCAGAAATCCAAGCCAGATTCAGAAGAAGATGTGGAACCAGTGATACCATTGTTAATGTCCGATCTTGGCTAAAAGCAGAGAATACCAGAAAGATGTTTTCCTGTGTTTTATTGACTATCCAAAGGTGTTTGACTGTGTGAATCATACAAATTATAGATAACATTTTGAAGAATGGGAATTTCAGAACCCCTAATTGTGCTCATGTGGAACCTCTACATAGACCAAGAGGCAGTTGTTCAAACAGAACAAGGTTATATTGCATGATTTTAAGTCAGGAAGATGTGCATCACAGTTATATCCTTTTATCATACTTATTCAATCTGTATGAAGAACAAATAATCAAGAAGCTGAACTATATGAAGAACAACATGGCATCAAAATTGGATGGAGATCCATTAACAACCTGCAATATACAGATGATACAACCTTGCTTGCTGAAAGTGAAGATGACTTGAAGAACTTACTTATGAAGATCAGACTACAATTGTCTGTATGGATTACACCTCAGCATAAAGAAAACACAAATCCTCACAAATGGACCATAAGCAGCATCATGATAAATGGAGAAAAGATTGAGCTTGTCAAGGATTTCATTTTACTTGGATCCATAATCAACACCCATGGAAGCAGCAGTCAAGAAATCAAAGGACATATTGGCATTGGGCAAATATGCTGCAAAAAACCTCTTTAAAGTGTTAAAAATCGAAGATGTCACTTTGGAGACTAAGGCGCACTTTACCCAAGCCATGGTATTTTCAATAGCCTTATGCACATGCAAAAGCTGGTCAATGAATAAAGAAGAATAATGAATAATTAATGCATTTGAATTATGGTGTTGGCAAAAAAATATTAAATATACCACATTCTGCCAGAATTCCATCTTGGAATTGCAATTCTACCTCGGCAGAAATACAGCCAGAATGGTGAGACTTCATCTCATGTCTTTTGGACATGTTTTGAGAAGGAACCAGTCCCTAAGGAAGGACATCATGCTTGATAAAGTAGAGAGTGAGTAGAAAAGAGGAGGACCCTCAACCAGATGAATTGACATAGTGGCTGCAACAATGGGTTCAAACAGCAAAGATTGTGAGGATGATACAGGACCAGGCAGTGTTTTGTTCTGTTGTACATAGGGTTATTATGAAACAGAACCAACTCTATGGCACTTAAAAACAACAACAAGCTAAGCATATTCTCTATTGCCTCTGAGCCTCAGTTTCCTCATCTGTAAAGTGAGAATAATGACATCTTCCCCCAAGTAACTGTTGAATTAAATGTGATGACATAAGTCATAGCTGATGTATAAGTGTCCCAGGGCAGGGCCTCCAAGAATGCTAACTGTTATTGTGTGGTGTAGGGGCTTTAGGCAGTACATCCACAGTATTTGGTCTTTCACTCACCATTCCACTCCCTCGTCGAAGTCTGGACTGTCAATACTGACTCTGCTCCATTATGATACCTCCTCGTTGTATAAAATCTTTTATATATTTTAATTCCAGCAGAAGTGTTCCAGTACACCTCATCATAGTTACTCACATCACTGATGCATGTTATAGAAAAGTTTTGTCCCTCAGAAACAGAAATTGGGTCCGGAGTTACTGTTAGGTTGGCTGAAAGAATGCAAACAAAATAAAACAAAACCGACAAGTCCGATGTTTAGTCTTTCTGGTGACATCAACAGAGGTATGAAATTTAAGATAGAGACAGAAACAATGGACCATCCTGACTGTACTTCTTTCAACGCGGGATTGGTACCTTGCTGCTCCTGGGCTTTACTTGTTTCTAGGCTGTTGCCAGTGGTGCTCTGAACTGCACTCATTTCCATCACATGTCTTAGGAACTCGTGCACTTCCCCTTTGTGGCTGGAATTATCTCCTGATGATCAGTAGGGCAAAAGGTTGCAAACTTAGGGTTGTTGACTTAACTCAAGCTCCCCTCCAACCTCTTCTATGACACTTCAAGATAGAATAAATAGCAACTTTGTTCTCAACTGTTTTAAAATACTCTTTCATAATACCCTGCCGTATTTTACTTTGCATTCATTCTATAGCTCTCCTTCATAAATACAGGTGGCATTGGGACAGGCACTTTATCTTCTGTGTGGTGGTGTCCCTGGAACGTAGCACTGTGTTTTGTATGCAGTCAATGACTCCTCAATGAGCCAAAGAGTGATTTCTGGAGCTATACTTTAAGTGGAGGGATCATACAGTGTATTGCCCAAAGAATTAAACCTGGATTGTCTGAGGAAAATTGAGATTTGGGCACCCTAACTATAAGTCTCTGTGTGCTCCTCTTTCTGAGAAGTTCCTCATTGATTCCTGAGGAATTATTGATTGAAACTGTTAACAAAGACCTTTGGAAATGTAAAAGTCAATATAAATGTCCATTATTTTTTTGCTCTGCTTCTATCTTCCTCTTCACTTAGACTATATCTTTTTACATAGTTGACATTTCAAAATGCCATTCACTTCTGGCCTCTACACGTAAACAGCTTTGTGCCTTAGCCCACTGATTGCTTTTCCTAATCAGTGTAAAATCTTATTCTTAATTAAAATAGAAAGAAATCAAACTTTTCTACAATGCCCATTAGAAATTTGGATTTAAATGTTCAGACACAGCCCAAAGTCATTCAAGCATAGTGAAATTGGTCCTTCTTATTGTTGTCACTGGCTAAAGGGATCTTCAGATGAACTAAGGGTTAGCTGTTTCCAAGAGGGGAAAGAAAAAGGTTTGTGGAACCATGAATATGGTTCTCTTTGTTTTCAGATGAGGTCCAAGACCAAACCAGTGATTTTCAGCAAAGCTTAAACCTGCCCCATGACAGCCAAAAGCCCACATCATCAACACAACTCCCAGAGTTAGAATGTGGAGTGAATAGCTCCTCTCACTATACAAAATTACAAATTGCTCAAAATACTCATGAACTTTTTCAGGGCCTTTTTTCAGATAAACTTAATTTTGATCTTTGTAAAATCACTAAGTCATAAGTAACAGAAAATATGAACAAGAAAGCAAATACTGTTTACATCAGCTCTTTCTCTGAATTGTACAAAAGGGGTCGAAAAGTTTATTTAAATATTTCATTTTTGTAAGATAGGTGGAAAAGCAAGTTTGACTTTCCTATTTTTGCAGAGAGAGGTAATTTAGAATGCTTTATGAGACAAGAAGAAGTTTAAGAGTCCTAAATTGAATTAATGAAAAGATAAGAAAAACATTTGTTCCAACTGTAAAATAACCACAAAGTATCAGATTATTAAAGCTTCTGGCAGCATTATCTCCAGAACTGGTGAAACAGGAGAGGAAAGATAATGGGGAAAGGTGAGGGGATATGGAAGAGTGAACCAGGTGATTGGAATACAAGGGATGGAGATGGGATTATGGGAAGAGAAAGGGAGGAGTCAGGAGCATTTTTATAAATTTATAGTAAATTTAATCATTTACTAGGACTAACTTGAGTATGAAACTTACCTCCCAGTCCACCTCTGCCTGACCCATAAAATACAGGTGGTGTCTTTCCTGCGGCCACTGCTTTCCACCCCTACCCTTAAATCGAAACCAAACCACATCCATTACCATCAAATCAATTCCAATACATAGTGATCCAAGAGGACAGAATAGCACTGCCCACAGAGTTCCAAGGCTGTAATCTTTACAGAAGCAGACTGCTACATCTTCCATACACAGAGCAGCTCATTGTGTTCGAACCAATGACCTATCATTCAGCAGCCAAGCACTTAAACACTGTGACACCAGGCCTCCTTCTGATACCTTTACAATAGTAAAAAAGACTACTTGAAGTAAAAAGGCAAGAGGAAAGTCCTCTCCTATCTCCCATTGAATAGTCATACAATGATTATACAATTATACAATTATACAAGCCCTCTCCAACTCCCAGGAAAGTCCCTGCTTCACTTTGCTCATTGATATTCCCAGTTCACTAGCAGATCTTGCTTTAAAGGGTAACATATTTATGGCAAAAAGTTCTAATGAAAGAGCCTTACCCACAGAGGTGAAAGTCACTTCTATGTTCTCACTGCCTCTGGCTCCGTGGGAGCTGATAAATTCACATGTGTAGATGACTTTTGTTCCAGACGACCCACTTGGGCACTGGGTTCCATTGGCCTTGATGGTGTATCTGCTGCAACTGAGCTCTACGTCAGTTTCAGCAATTCCTGCAATGGCAAAATCAGTTCTACTGTCACACTTGTCTGATTCCCCAGTTGAGTAACAAAGACGCTAAATCAGTGAAAAAGGGTTTCCATTTAAATTTAATTCCTTCTCTTTGAATGGAGAGGCGAGATAGCACAGTAGTGATTTAAGTCTGCACACTCAGGAGCCAGGATGCCTGGGTTCAGATCCCAAATGCCACCACCTACTAGCAGGGTATTGTTGAGAAAGTCTCTTAACTGCTCTGTGCCTATATAGCTTCTCCACTTGTAAAGTAAGAATGAATAATACTAGCTACCACCAAAGAATGTTGTCAGGTTAAGTGAATTAATATGTATAAAGCACTTGGAACAATCAATGCCTGGCTGAGCCTGCACCTAACAAAGGTGACATTGGTGATGGTCACTGGAGGTGAAAGGTGAAAGAGAGAAGTAAGGTGTTTGGGTAACTTTAGTACTGGAAGGAAAAAAGATGTGGGATTAATTAGACTATTATTATTATTGGAAAGAAGAAGAAATGAAACTCATATATCATCTCACATGAGGAATATTTTCAGAACTTGTTCCCTCTTATTAAATCTGCATTTTCAGTGGAAGCTTCAAAGTCATGCTTTCTGAGCTCACCAGCTGTTTCTCCTTCAAAATAGCTCTCCTTTTATACCTCCCTTCCCATTCCTAGGAATGCCATACCGTCTAAGACATTTTCACCACTTGCCTAAAAAAAAACATACCCATTTCCATTGAGATGATTCCTACTCCCAGTGATCCCATAGTTTCCAAGTCTGTAAATCTTTATGGAGGCACATTGCCACATCTTTCTCCCATGGAGAAGCTAATGAGTTTGAATCGTTGAACTTGTTGGTTAGCAGTCAACTACTTGAACCACTGTATCACCATGACTCCATTCCATTTGCCTGTTGTTGTTGTTTGTTGTTGAGTTGGACCCAACTCATAGCAACCCCTCCTTGGGTTTCCAAGGCGATATCACTATGGAAGTAGATTGCC